ATGCGGATTGTTTGATTTGTGTTTCTGTTGTTGTTCGTTGGTGGGGAGGGGGGATGGGGGGGATGATGTGTTTCTGTTGTTGTGCCTTAGTGGGGGGGGGGGGAAGGTGACGTCCATGGGAATGCGGAGTGTTTGATTACGAAATTACGGCTGCTAAAAGTACACATGACGATGAGTCTGATGTCGGTGGTATTGATGTTCTGTTGCCTATGCTGATTGTTACTGCCGAAGCTGAGAATGCCGATGACGATACCTAAGGTGATAACATTGATGACCATGAAAATGACAATGTTGCTTCCTCTGGTCCTTCTTATGCTATTTTTGAAACGCCACCAGTTGCTCACTGTTGCCTTGGTTGATACTTTGTTTTTGAAACTCCACCAATACAAAAAGCTCGCGTTTTGTGGGCTCTCCAAACAAAAACTTCCAGAATGAACCCACAACTCAAGCACCAGAAACCATGAACAACACGGTATTTGCGACACTTTCGCAAAAACCTCACCAAAAATCCAAGACAAAGAACTTGGAGAAATGCATGCTCCCAAACATCGTCCTGTTCACGAAAACCACACAAATACTTAGATTTTCAAGCTCTCGACCAAGAAACGTCCAAGACAAAAACGACACACCCCGCACGTGCTGCCTTGTTGTTCTTGTTGTTGTTCTTGTTGTTGCTGTCGTAGTTGTCGTCGTCGACGATGTCGTGGTTTTGGTTTTGGGTGTTGTTGTTGCTGCTGCTTGTGTTGTTTCTGTTGCTGTAGCTGCTGCGTATGCTTGTGTAGCTGTTGTTGCTCCTGCTACTGTTGCTGGCGTCATCTGTGGTGGTGGTTTGGTGCTCGTCGCCATCGTCGTGGTCGTCGTCGTCGTTGTTTGCATTCTTGTTCAAAGCTCATGACTCTTGGCCAAGCGGATCTTCACCTTCTGCAAAGGTTTGGAATATCCTGCACCGCTTGGACGAGAAGAGCCCTTTATACGGCCTCGATGAGCACAACTTTGCGGACAAATTCCTCGCCTTTGTGGTGCAAATTGAAGGCACGGATCAGACCTACATGCAGAAGGTTTTTGCTAACAAGTGCTACTACCCCACCGACTTCCGCTTCAACGAGTCCTTCGAGGATATCATGACGATGGGCACCGACACCATCACGGTTGACTTGAAGGGGCTCAGCACCACCCGAAAGGTTGCCGATCGCTCCAAGCGATTGAGCTTCCTCAGGGCCAACACATTTTCACTTGATGAGGCACAGAAGATCGCAGCCTTGCAAGTGCAGAAGGATGAAGTGGACGAGGCCAAGGAAGACGAGGACAGAGGTTGACAAAGCACATGAAGGTCATAGGTTGCGAGATCTGTCAAGGTGAGATGATTCCAGCTGCTTTTGATATGCATGCACAGACTTGTGTTTATGTGTTTCTTGGACCTTCCAAGGACGCAGAGGCATCAGCAAGCACCAAACCCTCTGACGGGTTCTTGCCATCAGAGGACTGCAGGGTTACAGCGTCATGGTGGAGGAAGGTGATTGCTGCATTTCGTCATGGACGGTCTGTATGACGTGCTTGAGCCTTGTAAGGCTTTTCCGTAGAAGTAGTATTAGTCGTAGAAATGTTATTATCGCTAGTGGTGGTAGTAGTAGTAGTAGTAGTAGTAGTAGTAATAGTAGTAGTCGTAGTCAGTAGAAGTAGTAGTAGTAGTAGAGTGGTAGTAGTAGTAGTAGTAGTAGTAGTAGTAGCAGAAGTAGGAGTAGGAGAAAGAGGAGGGAGAAGAGCTTTACCATTACTACTTCTATTCCTAGTACTGCTGGCAATAATACAACTGCAACTTGCTGTTGCTTGTGCTAGCTGCTACCACTACCAGGACTACTATAAGCATTATGACTACTACTACTACTACTACTACTACTACTACTTCGACTACTGCTACTACTACTACTACTACTACTACTACTACTCCTGCTACTACTCCCACTACTACTACTACTACTACTACTACTACTACTACTACTACTTCGACTACTACTACGACGGCCAGCATAAGACTAAGACTAACGCTACAGTACTAGTACCATTACTTGTACAATCATTGCTTCCTACCACTATTATTATTATTACTACTACTACTACTACTACTACTACTACTCCTACTACTACTACTACTACTACTACTACTACTACTACCACAACCACTGACTGCCACTGCCATTTCGACAAGCACTACTTCTTCTACCACCTGAAATACTACTACTTGTGCTAGTGCTGCTGCTGCTGCTACTACTATGGCCTTTGTTGTTAAATTCCAGAAGAACCCTTGGAAGGAGATAGAATGTGTGGACGCCGAGAAGGAAATATTCACCGCTGCCTGCTGAGATCCCTGGAGGGGAGCGCCGGGTGGTGTAGCATGGCTTATGACTTGCAGCATTCTGGCCACTGATGGGGCTATATGGTGGCAGATGGGGTAAGTAACATCAGTAGCGATACTGCAACAACAGCCCTCAACTGCACCAGCAGGACAGCAGCAAGAGAAGACTAATTTACCATAACGTTGGCAAGCTGCAATGGCAGGATTTTTCCAATCATTCCAGCACATGTGTCACCTTCCAGGGGTGCTTGTCGTGATCCCACAGATTTGCGCGACAGTTCCTATGCGAATCTGCTTTAAGGAGGGCTTCAGGTTTCGACACAGTCTATAGCACAGGAGACACCGTACCTATTGTAGGCTATTGCTACTGTTATGGTTGCAGGTGTTGCTGCTAAGTTTGTTTTGTTTGTTATTGTCACGGGTGCCTTTGATGTAATCGCCATCCGCTGCCGGCGTTATCATCAATTTCTATACTTGCAGCTTTGCAAGCCTTGATACGAACAGTGTTTTTGATGACAAATACCAGAGAAAGGGAGTGGCAAGCAGTATAAATGACAGTAGTTTGTCTGATAACATCATGGAAAATGAACCACAACAACAATTAGTGATTGTGTTAATCATGGTAGCTAGGAAGAGATTCATGTCCCCGTTCCCAACTAGGCATAAGTAAGACTGCGAATGCACACCCTAAATGAAACAGTGATAGTACAGTACTGCAGCAACCACAGCAACAACAACAACAACTACTACTACTACCACTACTACTGCTACTGCTACTGCTACTGAAGCTGCCACTGAAACTGCTACTGCTACTGCTACCT